ACATAATGAAGCATTTCTTGTAGTCCTTCCTTGGTGCAGTCTGGTAGATCGATAGTTGTTCCAGTCTCTGCTAATTCCCCGTAGAACATGGCCTCAAAAACAGGACTACTGATAGCCAGAACGTACTTGTGTGCTTGAAGGGTTACCCTCCCTCCATTGGCGTCCAAGACAGAGAACTCTACATCACAGAACAAGGACTTGTTGAACGCGTACACATTACGTTCTCTGACAGTAGACAGCTTTGTTTGCCAGCTTGAAGCTTCCATGTTTGATTATTCGGTGTATTAACATAAGATCTCGAAAATAAGGAATAGAGAAAGTAGCGAATATTCCAAACGTTTTCACTTGTGAAATGTCTCGGAAATATTCTGCGAAGAGACTGGAACTATTTTGGTTGGGCTTCCTGTGAATTCACGGAACAAGAGCAAAGAAGACAAGATGTACAAGTTGTGTAATTTGTCCACAAAAAACATCAGTTCTTTAACGTTTTACCTCCTGAATACTACAAGTAAGTACACGAATACTTTCTATGTATATCTTTTAGTATTATAAGACGACTTTGACTTGGCAAAGCTTTGATTTTATTCTTATTTTAGTAGGTTATTTGTGAGATATGAAATAATGCCATTTTATCAAAATATCATCATTTTTGTTTCCTGTTGAAAGCTTATGTATGCCATATTGTAAAGAAATGCGATTCTTAGCTTTTTTCTGCTGGAAAAATTGTGATATTTCCGAGCTAAAGGTGGATACGAAACTGATAAAGATGGCTCATGCAAAACGCGTGACTTTAATGTAGGTGCCTGGGAGGGGTGGGGAGTAGGAAGAGACAAATTACTAAAAGAAAAGAAAAAGATAGCGCCCTTTTATTATTACTATGAAGGAATGCAAGGATGTTGTTCCACTGATAATCAGTTCACTCATACCTTGCAGCACAGTCCTCAACCAATCAGATAGAGCATACTATCTAACCTATGAAACAAGGACTTATGGATGCTTGCTTGTACAATTGTTGATTCATTTAAAAGACAAGCGTAATCTGTGTATACTTTCACATGTTAATTAACTTAAAAAAAACTTGTCAAAAACTTGTCATTGCTTGTCACCACCACAAAGTACATCAGTGTGAAGGCGCCTCAGGCAGCTGTGGTACTGTCCATGTATTTCCCCAAGCACAGCTTTAACCAAGTTTGAATCAATTAGGGTTGATTTTAGAGAAGGGAGGAGAAAATCTTGAGGCAGGAAAAACCCTTGGAATTAGAAAGTAAGAGAACGTCCAATAGCTTTCACTCAGTTCTATGATTGCTATCTCATTCAGGTACTGATAATAGCGCAAAAGAAAATACCTTATGTAACATCAATGCTGGGATCAACTTTGCTTTGTTTGGAATATGTACAATCAGCTTGATCTTGACTTGCTGGAAATTCAACAGGTATTTATTATTTAAAATGCAGAGGGTCAGTGGCAGGAAAATAGGAGAGTGAAGTGTATTTCAGATTGTTCGGAGGCTAGGGTGAGAGAAAAAGCCTTCTTTGTTTTCATTAAAGATAAAGGCCGGGGAAGGATGAGCTTAATTTATTAGTTTAATAACCCATGATATAGTAAATTGTTTAAATGCATGGCGTTTTAGCCAATAATACCAAACATATCAAGGGAAAAAACAATAACTATGGGCAAAAAGTGAGTGGACACCGCTCACAGATTCATTAATATTTGTAACGAGGAAAACTTGTAAATAGAAATATAGTATATCAGTTTTATTATGTCCCTATTTTTTGGTTTTAGCATAACAGTTCTGAACATACGAGTCCGTCCTACTGCTATTTCGAATATTCTTTGGATATTTTACTTCAGCATCCTAGGAATCAGGTAAGAATAGTTTACAATGATTAGGAATTATCCTTTGAATACCCAATGAATATTTCTCTCTCCCCCAGATATATTGCGTGGCTGCCATGCATGGTTACTCTAAACTGGTTTAGGATTTGTGGTTGACATGGTAACTTTAAACTGGTTTAGAAACATGAGAATAGACCCCTTGCAGAACGTCGACATAACGTTAATAGTTTTGAATTTGTTCAATTCTCTGGAGATAGGGATTCTTTTTTTCTGTCCTCCAAATTGGGATGCTTTGAGGTCACATGCAAGGGGTCTACATGTATCTTATCTCTTGTTAATGTTACATGGGATTTGTGACCTTCTTTTTACTTTTTTTTCACTGGATTCCCAACTTATGTTTACTTCTCATTTAATTTCTCATCTTTACAAGATGCTGTTTTCATTCATTCCACAGATCTATGATTCTTGGTATAGCTTATATTGATAATGGTCACATATTGGAAGAAAATACTGTCATCCCCAAAATCTTGTTTCCCACAGGTATATCTGAAGTACAATCTGCTTGTTTGATAGACCGATTTAACTTGCGTGTAATGTTTTTCCTTTTCAGACCAGGTGTCATTCCCTAGAGTATCATTTCTTTGTTTAACCTGGTTTAATGATTGTGCATGACAAGACACATGTCTGAATATAAATGCAACTCAAACATAGAATCTTATAAATGTTTTCAAGGGATTGGTAAACTTAGGCCTTTTCTAATTTCAACAAAAAAGATGCATTTAGATCTAGCTTGGGTACAAACAACACCATATAAGGTAGGATGAACAGAAGATGTTTGTACCGAAGTGAGACCATCCTGCACCATGTTCACTCAAACTGATAATCCTCAGTCATCACAAATTTCTTAAAAATGAGGAGAATTAACAATGCTTTATACTTAATATTTATATAAAAATTCATTTTTTTGACATTCTTTTTCACCAGAAAATGTGTTCAAGATATTAGAGGTAAGAGATATATAAGGAATGTAAGTAAAATCAGTCATTCTACCCACCCATCAGTAGGACACTTGTATTATGGTGTCTTTAACTACAATTCCCAGAATCCCTTGCACACTTTCTTTTGGTTCGGTTTATTAGCACCAATTGTTTCACTATTTACCATCTAACCAAAACTACATTTTATCCATTCCTCCCTCCTTTCTTCTATATGTGTATCCATCTACCAAGCACCATCCATCCATCCACCCACCCAACCGCCCTTCCACCCACCCATCCATTCATCTATCCACCCATTCATCTATCTATCCATCTATTCATGGTTCTAAAACAAATTAACTTTATCTTTTTAGGTGTTGTTTCTTTCATGGGCACTAGAATATCAGAGAAAACACAGAAGTAGAGGTATTAAAATAGAGCTCTTACCTATTCCCTTGTGTATTATATCTTTGTTTGAGTTTGACTCACATCAGTCTTTCTTCATAGCTATCGTTGTTAAACAAGGAAATAATAATCAAGGGAATAACAAGTGTTCAGATATGGAAAAACCTTGATTAAACCAATAAAACCACTACTCTGGTTTGATGGGGTGGGGAGGCTAACATGAGACATCTTTAAAAAATAACAATCCAAATAATGAAAATAATATAGAAATCTTTTTGTTGCATATTAAATGAAGGATTTATCCAAGATGAACTTGAACAATTCAATGACAGAACTGATGAATCATCAAAATCGTTTAGACTTTCCAAGAAGGTATACACTTTTTATGTATGACTACCTAGAGGGAGGGGGAGTTGGAGGTGGGAGAGGGGAAGGGGGAGGGGGAGTGGGAGTGGGAGCGGGCAGAGGAGGAGGCAGAGGAGGAGGGAGAGGTGGAGGAGGCGGAGAGGTGGAGAAAGAGGAGGAGGAGCAGGCAGAGGGGAGGCAGAGGAGGATGGAGAGGTGAAGGAGGGGGAAGGAGGAGGAGGAGTGGGAGGGGGCACTCCTCCTCTCTGTCCTGTTTGAAATCAATGTTTACATGCTATAGTTTACTACAGACTATATAGTGCAGCTATAGAGAATCAAGGGTGGTACTAGGCTCTTGGGATTTAATTCCTGGATATCACATGTGAGTAGAGTTTGTTTATCTTTCTCTTGATTAAAGATTTTGTCTTCCAGGTTCTCCATTTTTCCTCCCTCTGCAAAACCTAATAAAGCTAAATGACCCATTCAATCTAGCTGGGAGTATTATAAGCCATGCCCTGGATTAGATCAACTCAGAGGTTGTTTCAGGGTTTCAAACATTTCAGGCCAGCCTTCTGAGATCACAGACTGACTGAACACGTCCCTTGTTAAACAGAAATCTTATACTAGACTGTACTATTGTTCCTCATCACTTTCAGGTTCTGAAGACAACATATAATATATTTACAGCACAAGCAGTTCTTTGTCTGGCGTCCTTAGCTGTCTTCCTATTAGAGTGAGTCATATTCCAAGTTAAAATGTAAATTATACAGCTTCTCATTAATCCCGTATAGGTAACTGTTCAATTATTTTCTTAATTGGACAGGTCTTGTCGATTTGGCATTAATTAGGCAGCTATTTATCAGTTAGACGACATAAAAGCACTTTTTTGTCGTCTAGCTGATTTATAATATGACCAAAAATCTACCGTGCGACCCATGGGCAAATAGTTCATAGGCATTTCAGCCAATCAGAGCGCGCATTATATCACCCATCTCGCTCGTGTGCGTGCTATTGACGCCATCGGGTTTGAAAATTTAGAGAAAAAAGGCGAGCGTCCGTTGTGATCAGCGTGCGTGAGCGTGCAGCCCATGGGGAAATAGTTCATTGGTTTTTGGCCAATCAGAGCGCGCGTAATAATCTAGTCATATTATAAATAATTAATAGGTAATGGGATTTCATGCTCCCCAATCAAGAAATAATTAGACTTTATGAAGTAAGACAATGACAAAAAAAGACAATGAAACCTTGTATTGTGAATAATGTTCATCAGACTGAATATTAGGATACATAATTATTTTATTCCTTTAATTTGATTATTTATTCCTAAGGAATAAGAAAGACAAGATAGAATATCTGTACTGGACATTCCATGGGTGCGTATGGAGCCTATGCATCAGCTGCATCGTGTTGATGTTTGTTATCGTGCTACACAGAACCATTGATGAAGGACCCTCAATACTTACTAAGGTGATTATTAGTTTTGTGACACATGGGTCTTATTATAAGATGTTCCAAAACCATATCTTAGCTTACACCTGCATATTCCCTTGGGTGCGGGGCCCAGGGGGTACTCCTGCCTGTTTAGGGGTGGAATGTGCTGCTGAGCCCTCTGAACCCTGACCCTGTTCCAGAGTAAAATCCCGGAAATTCATACCCTGTTCCAGAGCAAGATCGCTGAAAACCATACCCTTTTCCGRTAGTGCCAAAATGGATACCCTGATCCAGARAGGAGAGCGTGATTTCATATACCCTGTCCCAGAGTGAGCGCGATTTTATATATCCTGTTCCAGAGTAGAAGTGCTGAAAACCATACCCTGTTTGGCAGCAGGTATCTGTATAGCGAATATAGCTTAGAACCCCCCCCCCAGGGTGCCAGGGCTG